TTTATGTTGAAGTCGTGGTGTTTGGGGCTTTAAGGTTTAGGGTTTGTGCTGTGTGTTGACCACTCAGTAAGCTCTTGAGTGCTGTCAGAGTTGACTGACGATCCTTCCTGATACCGTTCCTTCCGCATTCTACTTGGCCATTCCTGTTACGAGCCACGATTAGCTTGGGCCTATCAGACCCATTAGTCGCTGTACCTCCCACAATGTGGGTATGGTTGAAAACGCACAATTAGCTTCTCTGTCTGTCTGTCTCTCTCTCTCTCTCTCTCTCTCACTCGCTCCCACTTTATAGTTGGAACAAAAAGCAAAGCAGAATCACCGCACAATCCTTGCACTGTTGCGATGGGTGCTATATCAAACCCCTATACCACACCAGATCATGCACCCAATGCATATCATCTCCCCAACAAACAAACACAGACACACAAACACAAACACAAACACAAACACAAGCACAAACACAAAAACAAACACAAACACAGGATACGGAACTAGGGGGATTTGCGGATAGGCCTGGAGATATGGCAGACCCCTTCCACACCCTGTTTGGGCTGGCTGGATTGCAAATGCTAGATGCTGCGCCGGAGTTGGGTCGAATAGACCATATATACTGTATGCCAACAAGAGTCATGCAGGAGATAGCGGATGTGGTGCCGGTGATAGCTAGCTTTGACGAATAAACCTGTATACATGTGTATGCGAGGCTCATGCTAAGCCGGAGTGGTACGTCAGTGACTAGGCTGACTCGTTATTACGGTTATTAGTGTGGAGCTATATGGCCGTGAGTGCGGGAGTTGTGTTATTAGGAACGCATCAGCACATGGCCTCTTAATTGTATCAACTGTGTGTTTGTAATTTTTCTTTGTCGTATTTATATCAGTGTGTGTTTGTGCTCTGTCGTATTTATATCTGTGTGTTTGTATTCTGTCGTATTTATATCAGTTTGTGTTTGTACTCTGTCGTATTTATATCTGTGTGTTTGTATTCTGTCGTATTTATATCAGTGTGTGTTTGTACTTGTCGTATTGATAGCAGTGTGCCTAATACATATGTTGGTACGGTAGGAAAGATTAAGAGATTCGAGGATGAAACGGCGAAAAAAAAATTGTGTGTTTGTACTCTGTCCTAGATTTATCAGTGTGTGTTTGTACTTGTCGTATTTCTATAAGTGTGTTTGTACTTGTCTTTATATCAGTGTGTGTTTGTACTTTGTCGTAGATATATCAGTGTGTTTGTACTTTGTCGTAGA